CTTGGCAGCACGGCCAACAGACCAGGGGCCAGTGACCGAGGGCCCGGGGCACCAAGGTCAACAGAACACACCAACAAGCCGCAATGGGGGTAGCCACTGTAGCACACGTGCCCCTCCCCCGTGTACTCTCGCCCATTAAGAATCTTGATTGCGAACGAGGAGAACCAATCACGTACCCCTCCCCCCTCCCCCGTGTACTCTCACCCATTAAGAATCTTGATTGCGAACGAGGAGAACCAATCACAAGGTGATACTCTTGCTAATGACTCCCACTCAGCCCCATGCAGTCTCGTCACCACTGCACGCCGATAAATGGTGGTGGCCAAAAGTAGAATTGATTAAATGTCCTTTTTTCACACAAACTTATCTGCGACTAAATCAGTGTCTACCGAAGGCTGTGCTTCCACTAAATAACAACCTTCAGGACGAAACAAACTGTTTCGTGTCACAGTACATTATGGTAACAGGCTCTAGAAATTTAGTATCTGCATCCAAAATTTTATAATTTTGCAAATTTCGGACGGCATGAACCGAATTCATCAACAGGTCAACTGAATGTTTTACAAAATGCATCATTTTTATAACTTTTCGCGATTTACACGGAACATCATCAAACGACCACCTTCCGTGGATCACCACCAAAATCACAAAGTTTAGCGGTTCGTGCGCTCTTGTCGTTAATTTGGGTGTTAGGGCGCGTCGAATACTGTGGTCATTTGCACACTTCCACAGCTACTGTTCACGGGATGCGGTCCGAGCGATGGGAAGGGAGACAGTTTCCCCTTCGGATCCGGACCGAGTGATGGGGAGGGAGACAGATTCCCCTGCGGATCCGGGCCGAGCGATGGGGAGGGAGACAGTTTCCCATTCGGACCCGAGCCGAGCAATGGGGAAGGGGGGGGGGGGGAGACAGCTCCCCCTTCGGATCCGGGCCGAGCGGCGCTGCAGTGCCAAGCGCATAATCGCCTGTAGCAGTTCAACGAGCGTCTATTTGCCAGGTTAGGGACGGCCGGTTGTGGGAAATCAGAACACAGATTGCATGCCCGAGCCATGCATGGCAACCATCCACCAAAATTTACCCAAACACATTGAATTGCCACATAGTTGTATCAAACTTTTTTCGCTGATGAATTCCATTAATCAACCCCTTAAGAAACTTTGTCTTCTTGGCTCTTGTCAAACAAGTGCCTCAAAACAGGCACGTAAAAGTACTAATTGTCATCAAAAGCACAACACTGTTGTACGAAAACAACCCATAAACTTAAATAAACCTGACCTTCTGAAATCAAAATAATTTCGAAACTGACCAAAAACTTCGAATTGCTCACCCAAAAACCCATGACATCAACAGAGGTCGTTAAAAAACCGTTACTCGTAAACATAACTACTGCAGATAACGCAGTTATCGGAGAATGACAATACTGCAGTTAAAAAGATGCAAACACTAGCGATGCAACTTGCGACGAAGCACCACAGAACCAAACGTGGGAATTACATTAGCGAGCTGGAAAGACGGCGTAAGCAGCAACACAAAATATTTGGACAGTGGATACTAGACAACTTATTATGACCAGCGTGATACCTGAGCTGGCCGTGTGCCCTGTCTGAACCCCCTGTCATTTCTTCCGGTGTTTGTTCACGATGTGCACTATATGTCCGCTATATCACCAGCGTCGCAATGCCTCGCGCCCACTCTAATGAGACAAACCTAAACGCGTTTGCCGGTCCGTCTCAAGCTCAGGCCTCACATCCACAGCATGTTGCCAGTGTGGCCCGAGTCAATCCCCTCCCAGGTCACCTCCGAGCCGTCGGGCGCGCGTCCGCCGGCGTTTCAAGACTAGACCGAAGTCCAGGGGCAGTGGCACCGGGCGGGGTGGGGGCGGGAGAGAGGGGGGGGGGGGGGGCTGGCACCGGGCGCCCCGGCCCCACCGGACGGTGGTCCCGGTGGGCCGCCCGTACCGCGGCCATGGCAGGTCGGCTACGGCAGGGCCGCAGATTCTGGCCGAATGAGACCGAACCGGACCGGGCGGAGCGAGCACAGGGCGGATGCTGAACTGGTTGACGGCGCGCAAAGGGCTCCGCTGCAATTCAACACGTGGAACGCCCCGAAGGTGTTCAATTAGCGACACAACTATATATATATATATATATATATATATATATATATATATATATATATATATATATATATGTATACGTTGATCCATCGAATTACGGAAGGCGTTTCCGAACCTTCGATTTCAGTTCTCTCTGCTTCGGCGATTCCGTTCACCTGCAGACTATGTCCTAGACAACGTGTAAACACCGACGTTTGACGTTCCCGACCAGTTCATGGCCCGGGTATCGGCAATGATAGACTTGATAAAACGCAGCTCGAAATCCAGGATTTCGGCTCCTTTAATCTACGCTGCAGAATCATGCTCAAGACCCAGCGTAAACACAGACTTGACAGTTTTAGACAACGAAGCACCCGCAAACACGGTGGCGGACCAACTTGGTGCGTCTAAGGACAGTTTCAGTGGGAGGCTTCAAGCGCACGGTCATAAAAATTAAAAAATAAAAGTATTACAACGCACATTTACTTCCTAACGATGGTCCTAGATCCTTTCAAGACACATATATAATTTAATGACACCTTAGCCTTCGCTGAAACCACTGAATGGCAAAAGGCTTCCTGGTTCTTAGCCCTCCTGAGTTAGTAGCGTAATTACCCGGGCTGGGTCAACAGGCGGGTTCCGACAGCATTACTTTGACAGAAATATCTCTTGCATCATACCCCGCAAGACAACCATTCCCTGCAAAGTCGACAATGTGCTGCATGATCACCACGAGGCCAGAAGCTGATCTGCCTGAAGCAATGGACGGAATGCCGGCGACCTTCACAACTTTTACTCGGCCAGCTGGAAACTTCCAATACAAAAATCCTGCACAACGCTGCCTGTACCAATACTCAGTCCCGACATGTACAAATCGAAGCATTACACAACGCCAGATGCTGCGGAGAAATGAGCGCCGCGCCAGAGCTGTTCGCGTTTCTTCCGCCCCGCAATAGCGAACACGAGCGACGGTACGATCAACAGGACGTCGCTTCCATAAAGCGGATGAGCAAAATTCACGAATGGATCGCTAAGTTTTCGCGCGTGTGCACAAAAGCTCTCCTGGGGTTGAGTTTAAGTACATTCACTTTCAAAAAGAAAAAAACGGGACTGATCTCCCACCGAGCAGCCACTCACCACGGTCCGTTTATGACGGTCTGCTGTTCTACAGGAAACGATAGGCCTGGTCGCCATGTAGCATCTCACATGACTTGACCATTGCGGTTTTAGCGCTCTCATACTGCTACGGCCATGCAGCGCGCCGCTCGGCCGCGCAACAGCTGGAATAAGTTGCACATGAAATTACGGTAGTTCTTATGGCCTCACTCCTCGTTGAATGATTATGAGAAAATATATACATGCATTGATGTTTCGGCTACAAGCACGTGACAAGCAGCTAATCGATGACAAAATGAGCAAATGTAATGCGCTTTATTTGCAGCACATTCTAAAGCTGTCAGAACAAGAATACCTGCCGTTGTTTGTCACAACCAATTTTTAGACAAAAGCTTGCAGCCAAAAAATCAATGCATCTCGCTCCCGCCGTGAGTTATTCAACGAGAAATAAGGTCATTTGTAATGCTGTTACGCATGTGTTATGTTCGTCGCAGCTGCACGGAACAACTTACGACATTTTTGTGTCTAAATAGGCTGATGCAGATGCAATGCTGCATCACGCGTATAAACACCAGATGAAAACTATCACTGCAATGCGATGCGCTGCATTGCACGGTGGAATCCCCAGTCAGCAGGAGGAATCCGCTCCAAATCGGACATGCACAGACAGTTCCCGCCAACAAAGTAAGCGCGCATCATCTCATTTACATTGTGGCGATGGCAGGAGCGGATGGACGTGAAGGACAAGTCATATACATGCAGAATGTCAGCATGCAGATCCTTGAGTCAGAATCTCCAGAGGCTTGAAGCATGAAGCTAACCCCTAAGCAGCGAACTGGCGCCCGGCGAGAGAACGGCCCGTGATCAGCAGTTAGTCACGACCATTCACGACCGGTCACGACCGGTGGGCGCGGTCCGTGAGCGGCGAGGCAACGATCAGCGAGCCAGACTGGCGCCGGGACGTTGGGTGCAGTTCACCCCGGAGACAATTCATTTTTTTGGTAGGTCAAGGGGAACTGATTCCTTCAAAAAGCAGTACCGTTGGAGCTGGACCATATTCGGCAGCATGAGCTTGAAGAATTAGCCACGCGACGGGTCAACCATAAACAATAATCACCTACAAACAAGATTTTCTTTTCCGGACAGAATTCAAACGCGCTGCAAATAAAATACACAACATTCCCTCATTTTCTTAACCAAACATGCCTCAAATGCATGTTTCTGAAGCTCAAGGAACAGCCCACCTCAAACCTGATATCGCTGGATCTGACTCAATGGAAACCGGCTAAATGACCTATAAGTCGGAGTTGTGACTTCCTTCGCCGGGTTGGAATCAGGCAGTGTGGAGGCTTAGAACTCAGTGCACGGCAGGACCATCAGCGACAAACGCATCTATAAGGTCAGCTTTGTCGGGCTGCAGCGAGTATGCGGCGAAGCGGCAGAAGTTAAGTGATCTCATTCAGGCAGTGGAATGTCATTGGTGATAAATCCTAAAACACCGTGATTACATAGATGACACATTTCGACCATATTCAGGACAGAGCCCCGTAACTGACAGCTGGCCCTCCGATTCAGGGCGCCTCTGAAGCATTCGCTGTTGCTGTACTCAGGAGATGCCGTTTAGTGTGTGTATGTGTGCATTGCTTTGACCTCCGGTCATAATGTCGGACCCTGCCGGTTCTCGCCAGTTCGCAAGAATGTCGCGGCAGAATTGGACCGGCGTCACCGTATCCCACCAGTGCATGGTAGGCATATCAACAGAGGGAGCGAGCGTTTGCCTGCACTTACCGGCGTTCAGAAGGGCAGCCTCGGAGCTGGGCGGCCCGGCCGGCGGCGCCGACGGTCCGGCACGGTCCGTCTCCTCGCGCTCGCCCTCGTCGCTGCCGTCGTCGCTGAGGGCGTTCTCCTCCTTGTCCTCGGCCGGCGGACGGCCGTCGGCCGGCGGCTCGGCCTTGACGGTGGGCCGCACGCTCAGGTCCAGCTCCAGCGGCGAGTCAGCGCGCGCGCCCAGCAGCGGCGTGATGGTGGCCGGGATGCGGGGCAGGCTGGGCGACGAGTGGGCCGACGGCGGCCGCTCCGGCTCGCTGGCGGCGGCCGGCGCCGGGCCCGGGCTGTCGCCGCTCTCCGGACTGGCTTCGCCCGATGGCCGGCGCGCCCGCTTGCAGGGCGGCGGCGACACGCGGCCGTTGGGCTGCTCGGCCGGCGTCGGCCGGCTGCTGGCCGTCGCCGCCGGGGACTCGCGCGCCACAGCGTGCGGGCTGGCAGAGCGGCGCGGCACGTGCTGGAACGGCGGCGGCGGCAGCGGCAGAGACAGCGGCGGCATCGGCGGCGGCGGCGGCGGCAGGCGCGCTGACGGCAGCGGCAGCGGCAGCGGCGGCAGCGGCATCGGCAGCTGCAGCGGCAACGCCGGCGGCGGCGAGGACGGCGGCTTACGATTGCTGCCGTCGGCCAGGCCTTTTATTTTCAGCGACTCGGCCGTTTTGATCAGCGACGCCAGCTGGTCTTGGCAAACGTTGACTTCACCTATGTACATGTAGTCCACCAGAGCCCTGAGTTCACTGAAGGGAACATCCTTCAGGATGATGACTGGGTGGTTTTCCTGATGTGCTGAGAAAATCGCCTGCAACGGAAGCACGTAGTGAGCCCATGCCTTCACTTGAGTGGCGAAATGGTCTCTAAAAACCATGCCACAAAGCTGTGACCACAGCACCGCAACTGTTAAACAAGTAATATTTCACAACCAATGCTATCACAGCAATCATAATTTGAGCCATCATTTACATACACACAGTTCAACAGAAACCACGCCCCTACATAACTGTAACATGAGGCTCCTGTCACCCCCCCCCCCCCCCCACAAACCTTTCAATAACTTTTAACACCAGCTGCATACAGCTATCTGCTACCATCTGCAGCTATCCTGAACCCATGAGCTCTCCACAGTCCTGCTGACTGACATACTCAATCTCCTGGGTGGCAGTACATACCCTGAAATACTGGCTGCAGGCAGAGAGGACCACCTTGTGCGCACGCACTGGCCGGCCCTCGGCATACAGTGTCACATCCACCAGGCTCTCATCCTTGAGCAGTGACTCAAACACGTTGATCAGAGTGGTGTGGTGGTGGTTCCACCGCAAGCAGAACTGCTGGTCAGCCATTCCGGATCTGGGAAAGACATGGGCACGTCAGCACATTGCAGGCCAGTCCTGATTCTAACTTGGGGAGGGTTACCAGGAAACATACAACGCAGCACAGTTTGATGATGATTTGGGCTTTACAGCAACCAACTGCCAAGTGTGTGATGCTGATCACAATAGCATGTCACATGCAGTGAGTCTCATTTAAGATCAATATCCTATGCATGACCTTTGTCCATGGCTTCCAGCTAGCATCCTCAACAAAAGGAGCTTATGTAAATTGAAGCAGCAAAATCCATGTTAAGGGCTAAATCATGCATCACAAAACAAGCTTGCCCTAATGATCAACTCACAAAAATGCACATTGTAAGATTGAAAGATTTCCATTGAAAAATAATAGTATATACCCTACAAATTGTAGAAATCAACCTTGTTTACTAGAAAGTCCTATGTTACAACTGATGACAATATCAGCTACTTTTAAATGATTAACACAAAACACTGACCGCAAACTGGTTTGGAAATCCAATGTCTACATACTTAAATAAAAAGAGATCAAATGGTCTACATCTAGGAAAAATTTTCATGAACCACAAAGTTACAGCATAGTATGATTCCTAGGCTACCTTTATTTTACCCAGGAGTTACCTGGTTTGGCAGCTACAATTTACTGAAGCTTATGATAGTCTTGCAAATCAGAGAGAAGTGCTAATACTTCACTGCAACATTGCTTTAGTCCTTAGATTTATGGCCAAAGACAATGCACAAATGTGTCAAAATCTTGCTTGCAAAGGACATATTGTAAAAATTGCTTTTGGTTATCAAGCCTGACTGGTTGATATGGCAAGAAGGAAATTAAGCTTGAATACAACGAATCTCAAACTCTATTAAAGTATAGCGTTTGGTGTACAAAAAGGATCCAAAAAGGCTTTGGCACTGAAATCAAGCACATTGCCAAATGGCAATCACCCCATTAAAAAAAATCATTATTAAATGACGAAAAACTGTGTATGTCAGCAGAAACCTTAACTGCAAATTTTGTGCACTGGATCCAGTAACACAAAACTAGAGGTAAATTAAAGAATGACGGAGTCACTAATATTCTTTTCTCTCAATACTGCCTGGCGGTGGCATAATGCTAACATTCAACTTGAAAATAACTTATTTTTCACTTTTTAGACTAATCTTGGCCATTTTGCTGCACATCCACCATGCACAAATGTCATATGCACTAATAATGCAAATGATCTTTACTATACATGCTGTCCCTTCAAGATTATTACCAGATGACCTAACACTAAAGTCAAATTGACCACAGGGAAATATGTTAGTCTTAAGTGGGTGCTACTCACCAATCACAGCCCATGTGCCACAAATTCATTACTGGACAGTATTGTCTCCCACCACAATTGACACCTGCAGTTAAGCAACAGACACCACATGTCCTAAGACCTGATTATCTTTAAATATGGATGACCTAGGACAAATTCAGGTCTTCACTTTCTCTGGGTCTGTAAGGGAGTGTACATCTTGCAGATTGGTTGGTTATTATGGAAACATGATAGACATGGTTAAGATCAAAATCCATTAGTTTAGGCCAGCAATGCATGCAGAATGAACAAATATAAAGGCCACACATTGAACCAATTTTTAAACATGATTTACTCCCACTCAGGCAAAGAAAGCATCCTTTACGGCTCAACAATGTATGTCCCGTCCAACTTTGAAAGCTTAGGATGATGTACTTTGAGGACATCAATAACACCGAGGCTAGCTGACAATCAGGTGCATACTATAGCCCATCTCTCTTTTCACTGTACAAAGGAAACAAGGGATTTTCAACCTATTTCGGCTGATCTCTAGCATTCCAGAAGTAACATGACTTAGTTACTCAGGCTCTGGCACAAATATTGTGCAACTCGCTGATACAAAGTTCCACCTTGAATTTCATCAATGATGTTCCTTTACTCTGAATGATTATCAATCACACTTTTCTGCACAATTTTTTTCCAGAGGAAATGCAGGGATACAAACAAAACCACAAAGGGTCCCATGCTTGCCACTGGACTCACCTCATTTTGGTTACGGATGGCATTCAATGCTAGATTGAAAAAAAAACCAAAGAAACTGCACCAGCACGGAAGGAGGAAACAAGCAATGCTATCTATCCCACAGTCTCTTTCAGAAAGCGAAAAAATCACGCAAACCAAGCTGGATACGAGTATCCCCGAGCATGTTTATGAGCATGCCGTTCCGCCATTTTGAAACGTAGACAAAAACGACTCGACCCCAGTATCGCATTTGCAGCTCACAGCCCACCTCTGACAAAAAACCCGTCACTGAAAACATCCTCCACTGCCAGCATCACCCTAAATGCGCAAGCTACCACGCATCAATGGCTGAAAACTCACCTTCTCGGGGGCAGACTTCATGCAGTTGCAATTCAACGCATCTTCCCGTTGATTTCTTCGGTGCAATGGGCCTTTCATCAATGCGCCCACTGGTTTCTGATTGGCTGTCGTTGCAGGCGAGCGGAAAAGGCGATGGCCAGGCAGTTCTCAAGGACAAAAGCTTTCAAGCTGGGGGATACCAGCCTGCTGATTCGGTATACCAATGACTTCGCCTTTTCACAGATGTCTGCAATAAAGCAGAAGAAATTTGGAAGGAGGTGGGGCAAAATCGAAGTGATATTGCAGCAAAAATCTTTATTTGAAAATAACTTGTCCATGTGTGAATACTGATGACGTAACTATCATCCATAACTTTCTTTGAGAATTGTTCATTCGCGTGAAGCATGCGCTGAAGACAGATCCAAGGAGGAAGTTAAAAATAAAAAGGTGTCCATGCAATGTGGGAATTGCTCAAAAGCTGTGAAGAGAGAAGACAGCGGACGACCGCCGCGGGAGGAGGAGCGGAGAAGGGGAGCGGCTGCGGACTCGCAGCGTGTGGAAAATGACAATGTTACGCGCTGCCTGAGAATCAAACCAAGAAAAGGAGGCTGACGAAGGAGTGGAACTAATACTTATCAAGTAAGTGTTATGTGTTCGCTTGATGTGTTGACCTTGCAACCGTATTGCAAAGGCGTTCATGACGCGGAATTCCATGGGAGTTCATGGCATCAGTTGTCATGCTGTCTTTGAGGACTGCGACATGTGCTGAGTTCACTGAAAGAGTTAGGTGCATGCTTTATTGCACAATTGGATATTGTTGTATCCAACGCGGATAATATGTTGTAGTTGCATGATGTAGTTAGATTTGAACAAGGTTGCCAGGTGGGTTTGCTTATGACCAGTTTCTCACTTGGGGGTAGATTCACTTTTGTTAACCCTTCAATATGCAACATTTATGACAAGAGAGCAGTGCTGTGTTTAGGGCATTGCATGTGTCATGGTAGAACTTAGGATCTTCACCATGGATAAGAGCATGGCGAGTGAGCTGTTGGGGTTCGCATTCTCTTCGCTCACACTGAAATTGGCTATTGTATGCTGAGTTTACAACACATTAGATGTCAATGTTTACTCGTCTGTGTACAAATATACCCGGCTCTTCCTATTTTGTGTTTATACATGGTATCTCATACCTAATTTTTTCAAACAAATTTCTATTTTTATGCCCAGTTTGTCATGTCCACATTTGTCCAAATGTGGTAAATTGTGTGAGCAATGCCCATGACTTCTCAAAATAACTGGACTGGTCTCCCTTGATGTCATTTAGCTTGTTTGCATAGATTTGTTATAAGGAAGCATTAGTAAGAGGAGAAACTGTTGAATTTGTATGCTACACATTTGATGTGGGATAATACTGAATGCATTTTCCTGTGGTGTACCCATATTCTCTATGCGGCAAATTGTGTGATCCCTGACAATATATCCCAGTTACATTTTTGCGTTATGCCAATTTTTGTTTCTTGTTTTGCGATGTATTCAAGAGAGCATTAGGAAGACAAAATGTTTAGATAGGTTTCCATCTGCATTGTTTTTTAGGTAGGAATTAACAGTGGAATCTTGTTACAGAAATGGAGGAGGACCAGCATTTCTGTCTGAAATGGAATAACTACCAGTCAAACATGACGGCTGTTTTTGATCAGTTGCGAGAAAATGAAGCCTTTGTAGATGTAACATTAGCCTGTGAAGGATCACAATTGAAGGCACATAAGGTAAGGTGGTTAGCTACTAATTAGCAGGTGTGTGGTTCTGTAGTATAGTTATGCGGTCTCGGGTAGAATATGATGTTAAGTTTAAATGTGAGTAAACTGAAGCAACTTGCTAGCTGTTTCAGCCAGCAGTGATATGTTTCAGGTATAGCCCAAAGTTGCTAAGATAATGTTTTCTTGGCATCTGGCTCCCATATATATATATATGCTATAGCAGAATCCTAGTTGGTGTGCAGCATGTTTACTTAATGTCATGGTGCTACCAGTGTGAAGCAAAAGGCAAAATTTGTCCATTTGTATCAGCTATCAAGATGGATCTGGCTGGAGCAAGACTCTGATGGTGAAAGAGAAAACACCTGATTGCAGCATGATGGGTGGTTCCCCACATGTCATGGATGTCCCTGACCTGGCTGAAGGAATGCTTTGTAGAGGGCATTACTGGCTGAATGAGTAGCCAAATGAGTAACCACCAATGGTTGGCTCTTTGTAGCTCTGACACGACTAAAATTGTTTATGTATTTTTCCTGAAATTCTGAGTCTTTGGGGAGAGCCCTCAGGGACTCAGTGACCTAAAGAAACACCTGACCTAAATACCATGTGGCTTGCAAATCACATATGACACATGCACAATAATTTTGGTGAAGTGGCAAGGCACAGGGACCTCTGTCTAATGCCAGAAAGGGGCTGCCTGGAGCCTGGGTGTTGACAGTATAAACAATGCATGACCCAAATATAGCTGGCTCAGAATGTTTTACATCCAGACACTTGCTTTTATGACTTGTCATGTATTTGCCAGGGGCAAGTGAAATTGGAACATGTTTTTCCATTGTTTTGCTCCGCTGCATGCTCTGTACATTGTTTGGTGATGTTTTGCTCAAGGTACAATAAGAGAGTGTGTGCTTCCTTTGCTTAGGTGAGTAGCTTGTTCTGGAATGAATGCTCGATGGGTTTTCATTCAATTTCTTTGGAATTGTATAACTTGGTTGTGTGATTCATTGTAAAATAGCTCAGAACAGCCTCTGCAGGACAGCAGAATCTAGGACTAGGATAATTTTGGTTTTTCATTTTTTACATTCATGCCTGCAATCACCCTGAAGGGCAGGTGCTTGTTGAATAAGGTCATGGGCATTAAGTTGGATGCATGAAGAATGGGTAATCTTGACATGATTAAAGCAGAGTAAGAACTAGTTGTGGGTTATGAGCAGGTCATTTTACCCAGGTCATTCAGTTGATATCAATTTTGCTTGCGTGCCACATGCAACCGATAGTATTCCGCTGATTGCTGCTGTCGCATCAGCCGCGTGCGATAGCCAGTGACGGCGATACGTGGCGGCGCTTCTCCGATTATGTCAGCCACTCTCTGCGGCCTGGGGACGGATTGTGCCGGTGGCCGAGACCTGCCACGGGACCGGGTGCGGCGCCGCGTCCCTGTTGCCATGCGCGGCCCTCGTCCACGTGAGCCCGACCGCGCTCAGGCGCAGGAGGGCCCTTGTGAGAGCGTCGGGCTCAAATGTAGGAGCCCTGGCGGCGGCCACGCAGCAACGGCGGGGTGCGTCTCATGGAGACCCGCCCAGGTGCGGCGCTCCGCTGGTCGCCGTCGAGCTGGGGCCGCCGCTACGCGACTTTTCACTGGCGGCCGCGTGGCGGGCGCTCAGCACGCGGTCGGCCGGGGCCCGTCACAAGTGTGCCGCACGTCCGGGATGGCGTGATTTTCCCCGCGCCAGGGGCCGGCCATGCGCTGGCGTCGGGCGACGCTGCAGGTCTGCATGGCGGCCGGCGCCGCTGTGCGTGCCCCGGCATGCGGCCGGTCGGCGCGTGCGGCTGACCCCATTCCTGCCGGGCGGGCGTCTCGACCTTGGCCGGCCGTGCAGCGGGAGCCGCCGGCAGCCGGTCGTGCGCGGCTCTGGCGCCGCTTCTCCCCGCATCAGATAGCGGCGGCGCGGCGCGGACGGATGATCCGCGCGGCCCGCGGCCGGCCAGACCTTGACTAGCGCGGCGCGGCGGCCGCCCGCGCGCTGAAGGTCCCCGCTGGCCTCGCGCGCGGACGGGAAGCGCGCGCCGGCCGCGCCGGCCGCGCTTGCCGACAGGGACCGGATCCGCACGCAGGGTATGGGGAGGGGACTGCGCGCCGGTTGGGGAGGGGGCGGGGAACAGATGAGATACAGGTTATCTCGAGGACTGGGACTGGCTGCAGGTGGTGCGCTCGGGCTCATGAGATGCTGGGATTGTGACTGGAAAGGACGTCGGGCGCGGAATCTGAGGGGCTGAGCCGGGGACCATGAGATGAGTGAGCTGAGACTGAGCGTGGTTGCCAGCACGCAAATGTTGAACGATGGTTAGCCCGCGAGACGCCATGACGGCTGCTGAGAACGGATACAGAAGGTCATGGGAGGCCCGCGAACTCCGACGGCACACAAGACAGCCGCTTGAGGACACGCCACAGGTGCCGAAGTAAACTCACGGGACGCTGGGCCTGGGCAGCTGCCGGCATGCGGATCCTCTGAATAATGCATGGGCAGGCCGCAGACCTGGATTGAGCGCGTGCTACGGACGCCGGGCTGGAGAGCAGGGCGGCAGCCTGATGGCGGGGTCGCGCGCCCTCCGCTGACGATCGGCTCCGGGCAGGTCACCGCGCCGGTGTCGGGGGACACGCGGGTGGTCAGGCCGGCGCGCGGACCATTCTAAAAGGCCCGCTTACTGGAGCCGGGCGGATTCCGGCTTGCCATGACCTGTAGGCACCGAGCATGGGATGCCCTCGCAATTTTCAACATCGACGCCGTTTTCCGCGTGACCATTTTCTTCTAAGATGCGTTTTAATCTCAGGAAAGGGGATTGGGTCGTCAGAGCGGTTGTTAGAGAGACCGGGTTACCAGAAAAGGGTAGAATGTGTACATAATGTACGCTACTAATGTCATGATAATTGTTGTCGGGAAATAAAACAATTGCATGACAATTGTATGACAGCTTGCTGTTGATGGCGTCTTGCCAAGCCAGTCGTCGCCCGGCGGCGTTCTTGATCACGTGACACGATTTTTCTTCGCTCAGTATATGGTTAATTGTGAGGGACAAGACCGGCAGCTGGGACGCTTTTTGCCGTAATATGATCACGGTTATGATCTGATAATATTGTATTTATGTTACAATCTAGCGGACCGATTCCAAAACCGTATCCAAATGTGAAGCACCCCTCTAATGACATGTGCGATTCCACTGTGCGAATCCCTTGCGTGTTGTCATCCTCATCTCTTCGGACCCATGTCCGTTGAAATAGACGGTTAGGCCTTGGTGGTGTGGCCCCATTATTCGGCTGGGTCTCGGTGACCGCTCGGGAAGAACGGGGCCCGGCCCGCTCGTTCCGTACGCTGTTCGCGCCGGCTGACCGGCCGCCTGGCTCGGAACGTGCTACGGCTGTCTGGCTGCTCTGTCGGGTCGTACGCCGGTAATGCGCTGGGGTTGCGTAACCACCCCGTACGATGTTGAGTAACATTGCGGAGCATATTATTCCACGTCCGGGCGGAAATGATGCAAGGTTATGCGCGCATGGTGGCTGGCTGCGGTGACACGAGGTTAGCGCTGCTGAAATTGTGATGATCTCAGGAGAGGACTGGTGTGCCGGGCAATGATGCCGCTGGAATTTGGAAGCGGGCTTGTTCTGAGCGAAGAATAACAGAGTATTGCGCCGCATGTCCACTGTTCAGCGTTCAGACGTCTGGAGGATGCCTGACAGACATGACGTAGTCGCTCCGGCACTCAGTCGACACTGCGGCCCGCCTGCTGCGAGCCCGTTTGCAAACAGCGCTACGTTGTTTGGCGCTTTTGCTCATCTGATGCGCACACGATGATCTAACTCGGGTGGTGACGATCGCGCCTGAGGTGCGACCAGAACCGCTGCAGCCCTGGGATTTGGCAAACGATCCAGAAACGTGGACACTAATTGTGGCGGTTCGATCCACTGGTGGTGGAATAGTTGCTCTGGGCACGCTGGCAGGATCGCAGCCAAGTTGCGGTCCGCCCTGCCGCGGAAACTTGTGAAAGCTGAGTGCGGATTTCCGCCCCGAACATCCCATTTCGGGCGAGGCGGCGCGGCTGTCGCTGCCGCGCTGCTCCCTGCCCCGTCAGCCGACCCGGTCCCGGCCCGTGCGTGCCAGCTGGGCGCGGTCCCAGGCGGGCGCGAGCGGGCCGGCCCGGCGGCCCCAGTGCTGCAGCGGCCGGGGCCGCCTCGCGCTGCCGCCGGGTGTGGCCGGTGCGGCGGCCGCCGGCGCCAGTCGGCCGCGCCGCCACAATGCGTTGACCCCGGCTATTGATTGGGCCGAGCCGCTCCGCCCGCCCGCCCGTCCGCCGCTGCCGCCGCTCGGATGCTGCGCTCGCGCCCTGTTGCACGCCGCCGGCCAGGCGCCGGTCAAAGCCCGCCGGCGCTCGCGCCTTGTCCCGGTGACGGCGCGTGCCCAGCCGACGACGACGGCGGCGGCGGCGCCGAGCCGCACTGGGACAGCACCGTCCGTCCACGCGCGGATCGTCCGACCCTCCTCCCCTCGAACGGCCGCGCTGGCGGTTGCCGTGGCCCAGCGTGATCGAGGCGGGATAATGATGTGTTTGTTCTCTTAGAAGGTTCGTTAGGGGCAGGCTATCCTCTTCCAAATCGGCCAGAGCTGTGACGTCCACAGATTTTTCCCCTCGGATGTGGGATTTCACAAACTATACGAATATCGATCAACACACGCGTGGTGTTGCGTTATTGGAGCTCCATACCCGATATTCTCTCGGAGTTTAGCCCCACTACCGCGCCGATGCGCTGCGGGCGGCAGCAGGGTCTCCCTCCCCGGCAGCTGACGTCCGCCTGTCCTCCCATCCGACCCCGGGCCGGGCCCCGCACCACTGCTCTGCCCTCCGGCGGCGGCGCAGGTACGTGACCCCGCCGGCGCCCGGGGGCGCGGCGCAGTAGCCGGCGCGCCCGGCGCCCGACGAACTGCATGGCTCATCGTAACTGAAGCAGCCGGCGGAAA